TGTCTGTCTGTGTCTCTGTGTGTGGACTTCCCAGCAGACAGATGAGGTTGGGTGGGACACTGGTCGAATGTCAATCACGCACACAGCTAACCAGTGAGGCATGGAGAGGGAGAGAGCAGGGGCTGGGAGGGAAGGACAGAGATGTATAGGAGGAGAGTGGAGATGTAAGGGATGGATGTAGCAGGAGTGAATTGGAAGAAGAGGGAGATGGAGGGATGGTAGTTAACATTAGCATACTGAGAGAGGAAAGACTGTATTATGTTTTCAGCTCAGCCAGCCAGCCAGCAGCAGACAGGCAGATAGATAAAGGGATGAAAAGAAGCAAAGGAGGAGAAATGTTTTCACCCTCTTTCATATACATGCCACTGATGTGGAGGGTTTTCACATGACATCACCACACCCTCTGGTGGTCGTATTGGAGGTCCTCAGCTCTTAAGCAACAATGGTTCTATACAGATTACTGTTTTGTTAAAGCTATAACTCAAAGATGACTGGTGGTATTCTAGATTTATCTTACTGTCAGCACATCTCATGTGCAAAGTCAAACCATCAAAAAATGTATCAACTCAAAGAAGTATTGTGTGTTTATCGAAGCCTGTTATATCTTCTTCTGTGCTGTAAGAGCTCTATTGCTTGTCAAAAAAAAATTTTAAAGAACACATCAGTGAACCAAGGGGGTTGCACTGGGTGACATTTTTCCTTGGATTACCACAAACACAAGGCGGTAGTTCTATTTTGACTCAGTCCCACACAAGACCATCCTGATCCCCAAATACGTAGGAGCACTTGGTTTCCATATATTACATGTACAGCTGGTGGTATTAAAGCTATTCTATTATTGGGGCTTAGTTGCTATCATACTCATTATATCTTATATTTCTATGTTATTTTGTAATATTCATTATTTTGGACATCTTGTGGTACCTCAACTTTTGTATACTCTCTTTTTTTGCACTACATTTCCCTATTGCTGCAGTGTCAATTTTGATTCTCGCTAAGGGGATCAATAAACGGAGCACCTTATCTTTACGTGGGAGGAAGATTTCTGAAATAATTGTTTGTCAATTCTGAAATCGCTGAATTAAAATTACTTAATTTTGTGTCAGTATCAGCCTGCCACATGTAGTCTACGCTTCAAAATATTCATGATCAGTTACAATCAGAAAATATGGATGATTAGATATGCATGGAGTCAGATTTAAATGGGGGTTAAAAAACCCTACACCTAACCCTATACACATCATGGCTTGAACAGGAACTATGTAGGGGGGAGGGGATTCAACAACAGTCAGATAATAGAATAATCTGCTCATTAGGAAAAACCTTTTTTTTTTAGAAAGTGGTGGGCGCGTAGCTGGGCGTTCGCTGGGGCGTTAGTGTTCAGTTCGAGCCAAATCGCGCCTTCGAGCTTTACGTTTGCGGTTCACGCGGTATATTACTGAATGTTGATCGACCGAGCAGCAATCGCGAGAATACTATCTAGTCATCGACAACCGGCCATGGCCGGGCAAGAATCGATGCCAGACTTTGTCATTCCGTGTGCATGGTGGAAACTTGATGGATAAGTCGTTCTGGACAAAGAATTTGGCAGTCTTAAGATAAAATGCAGTACAAATTTCGACAAGATTGCAAGCTAGATATTACTATATAGATGTCCTAAAAATTTTGCAGGTAAGGCCA